GAATTATCAGAAAGGGAAAAACAAAAAAGCACGATGTTCCAAGAATGCAGGTTGCTCTTCTAATGCCACTACGAGGCCAAGAGATACAGTGAAAAACAGTGGCCCATGGGTATGTCAGAGGAGTGGTCACTAGTAAACTGACAAAAGTAGAGGAAACGGTGGGGATGGAAGCAAGTTAAGAATGAAGAGACCAAGAGGATGGAGCTGAGGTGCTAGCGGCAGTACTGACGGATGATTTTTTGGTCAAAGTTTCCCAAAGCAGGGAAACAGAAGTAAGGCAGAAGCTACCAGACACAGGGCATCAACGCCTGTTTGTTTCTTTCCCCAAAGGGGTACCCATTTCCGAGAGAATGACTGTATTATTGGTAATAATCTAGCAGATGGCCTCCAACTCTATTTCTAACTTTAATCATTTACATAAGTAGCAAAACTATGTCAAGGTACACTTAGGTTTCCTTTAGATATAAAACAAGAAAATTTACTTCCTCAATGATATCACAACTAAGAATAATTCTAGGGAGGTTACCTATTTAAAAACTCATAATTTTTCTAAGTTACAACTCTCTCCCTCTTTCTCTCCCCCACTCTCTCTCTATAAATACATATGTATATACACACACACATAAACACACATACACATATATTAGATAATCAACTGACCATACTCATATCACAAAAAAGTTACATGTAGGTCATACATTTGTAGGTGATATGGCTACTTAGACCAACTATACTTCTTTAAAAAGTTGTAATTCTTTAAAGATTTATTTATTTTATGTATATGAGTAAACTGTAGCTGTCTTCAGACGCACACAGAAGAGGGCATGGGATTCCATTACAGATGGTTTTGAGCCACCATGTGGTTGCTGGGAATTGAACTCAGGACCTCTAGAAGAGGAGTCAGTGCTCTTAACTGCTCAGCCATCCCTCCAGCCCCTAAAAAGTTGTAATTCTTAATGCTCAATTATTGCAACTTTCCAACAGCTATTTTTATCCATTTAAATATATATATACATATGTAAATAAGGTAGAGCTTAAGTTCTTTTTTTAAGCTATTTTATTTTAAGCCAAATCTGTAGCAAAATGAAGTATCTTAAAAGAGGTTGACAGTATACTAACCAAAAAAAAAAAAGTCACTGTTTACAAAGATGTACTATACGGCACCCCTCTTCTAGATGGTGCCTAGCAGCTATTACTAATCTTCATGCTGCAGACATAGGATGACTGTTCTTACACAATGCCAGGCATCACCACAGCATAAAACAGCACTTGTTCAAACTGAGAGTTAATAAGACCGTAACTGCCAGATGGTAGCACAGTTAAATCAGGATCAGGCTCCTCTTGTGATCCCGTTAGGCTAAGAAAATAAGAAAAACTGGGAGTGGGCCAGGTGTGGAGCCTGTTACCTACATGACACAGGCAATGGCATTTAAGGTCTGCTGGGATAATTCTCCAAATCACACGTCAGTTAATCAGAGGTACTCACTTTCCATCCTCTGTCATGTATTGAACATGGACACTAAACAAACACAAATTCTGGTTAAAGTTAACTCCTTCTAAGAAGCTTGCCCATTCTCTAAATAGAAACATATTACTTAACAACAAACAACAACAAAAACCGAGACAGTGTCACTATGTAGACCAGGTTGTCTCAGACTCTTGATTCTCATGCCTCGGTTTCCCCAATGCTAGGATTGATTATAGGCATGTGCCACCACGTGGCTAAAAAGTTTACAAGTAAACTGAGTCACACCACAGCATGGCATATGCAGCATATATTCACACATCTGCCTAAGTCAGTCCAGCAAAGCCTCCTGTCGGCTAGCCAACCTACCAGCTTCTGACCCCAACACCTTGTTAATTTTCTCCTTGCTCTTTTAACAATGGCTAATGATTTATTTGCCTGGCTTTACTTTCTCCTTCCCACTGGCTAGAAAAACAATCATAGTTTAATCAACAATGTATAACTAGTGCCTGTTCAGACAACTGGTAATGCAAAAGGTGACCTCAAAATATTATTTAATGTAAGGAAATGCATTTTATAATTTATCAAGGTTTTCTAGGAATAAGCCAAAACAGACTTTAAGTGTTGTTATATAAACTGTGCATTGTTTCCTTAAAACAATAATTAATGTCATTTTAAAGGTTTTTTTAAATCAACTAAGGCTAATTACATTGATAGACTTTAAATGGTAAATCAAATCTTCAATATAAAAAAGGTTGCCCTTGGTTATGTTCTTATGATTTTAAAATACATCTATTGTTGAAGGCTTTAATTGCCATATTAACAAGAGATACAACCCCACAGAGTAAGCATTTTATAATGTATCAGTTATCCAGGAATATTCTATATCAGCTGAATCACAGACTTTAAGTGTCCAGTGTATGTGTATGTGTGTATATATGTGTGTGTATGTATGTGTGTGCATGTGTGTGTGAGAGTGCATTTTCTTCTTATGGTTTGTCTAGTTTGGGTGCCAGAGGAATACTGGTCACATCTCTGTTCTCTGTTTGTTTATCTTTATATATAATTGTATATAATACTTTCCATGATCATCAAGAAACGCTTTTTTTAAAAATTACTTAGGGAATTTGAACATCAATTCATAATAAAAATCTTTACAAATTAGAAAAAAGTAGAACTTCTTTGGCCTGAGAAAAAGCCTCTCGAAGACTATCTATAAGTGCTTCACTTCAGAATGAGAGACTATACGCTTCCCCAGCAAGATCTGAAGCCAGCACTTCAAATGCCCATGTAAGACATTACCAAGTGTAATAAGACAAGAAAAAGAGAGGAAGGTGTTTAGACCAGGACCGCGCATCTGACTGCAGAGAACACTTCTGTCTGTTCAGGAAACCCTCAAGACCTACAAGAAGACACTAAATACACAGAGGTGCCGTGTAGGTACTCCCTGAATTTAGTAAGGTTGAGGATGTAGGCATATTTTAAAATTACATTCAATACGTAGCAAAGAACTCAAAACTGAAATTTTAAAGCAATACCATTTACAAGAACACTTCAAATCATCATATTTGTAGGTATCTAACGATTTTTTTTCTCAAGAGCTATGTGCTCAAATTATCAAACACTGATGAAGAAATCAAAGGCCTAATTAAATGATGATACACCGTGGTCAAAGATTACAAGATCCACTGTAAGGAAGACACATTCCTCAGACTATGTCTATCCAGTTGACACATTCACCAATCAAGTTTCTGTACATATTTTCAAGGATTCTAAAATTTATCTTGGGGGTAAAGGAATTAGACAAGCCTAAACAATTCAGAAAAGGTATGATGCTGGATTCATACTATTTGAGGGCTTATAAAGCTACAATAAATAGGATGCTAACGGTAAAAAGAGCCGACAGATCAATGGGACAAAAGCTATTTACATATATAGTAAATTGCTATTGGTAAAGTGTAAAAATGACTTTGGATTATAGCCAAAATAAATGCTGCTTTTTATGCACAGAAGTTGCAAATTCTTTAAGATTTTTCTCATGACAAAGAAAATAAGATGAGATGAGGAAATTTCAAAGAGGCGAGAACAAAAGAAAGTTGGCCTCCTCAGGAAAGGGTGCTGTGAACAGTAACGTAACCAGGAAGGGCTGGGTTTTTAACTTTACACAGTTCACCTTACTAAAAGGTAAGAACTGATGGTAACAAAAATATATAACAAACCCACATAAGCTACAGGGAGTCAGCCCAGTGAGTAAAGCTTCCTCCCATCAGCAAGTATAAAGCCTGTGTTTAATCCCGAGGATCAAGGATCTGCCTGAGGGACGGAGAGAACCGAATCTAGAAAGTTGTCCTCTGACCTCCACAAGTGTGTCTATTCACAAAATAAATGTAAACATCTTCAAAAATTCCAAAAGACAAAGGATGTCACCTCTAACATAAAGCCAGTGTGCTTTATATAAAGAATTTGCTAAAATGCTTTGAATACAAAAAAAAACCCATTAAACAATAACAACAATAATAATAATTGGAGGAGGGGAACAGGTTTTTAGGCAGCGTCTCAGTCCAAGTTGGGCTGGAACTCAAAATCCTCCTTACCTCAGACTCCCAGACACTGATACTACAGGCATGTACCACGATGTCTGGTCTCAAAAGACATTTTTAAACGTAGATAATAAATCTTTATCCTTAGATTATGAGAAGAAAGATGGGAAAAAATAAAGAAAACTATATAACAAACTAAGAGAATGGTCAAAGGTGAACTAAATTTGATAGCAGAAAAACCCCAGGCTAATTAAAACATATCTGTGCAAATAAAAAAAAATATATATATATAACTAAGAGCATTCCTCCACCTAATTTAGGGGCTGAAAGGCACTCCCGCTTGCCATCCGTATCCCCAACCTTCAGTATCCAAAACAATCTTCCTTTTAAGAGTAGCAGGTGGCTACAAATTGCATGACAACGACTAAACCGAGCTTTGTGTGGTCCAGGAGGCAACTACCAGGTCCACCTTTTTAAGACGGGAAGAGAAAGGGGGCGTGGCAGGGAAGAGAAGGACCTTGATGGGGCAAGAGAAGATGACTGAAGGGTGATTTCATTGTACAGGAGGTGGATGGAATTAGCAGAACTGGGTGGGCAAGTTTACAAAGCCGGGAGTCAGGAAGTGTTGGCAAATTAGTCACCTAGAAGGGACAGGGTCAAGGAACATGATGGAACCCGCAACGGCAAGGAGGAGAACCAAGAGGGGGAAAGCATCGGGTGGGGATACCAGGTGAGAGGCAACCAAACCTCAGACCCCGAGGCCCCGAGGCGGCGCCGGCGACGCGGGGTCCGACGGAGGGACAGAGGACGCACGCTGCACCGGCATCTCCCGGAGCCAGGTGGTGGCCTGAGAGGGGCGGAGCCGCCCACAGCCGCAGACGGGGGGCCTCCCCGGATGAGATCCCTGGATCTTCAGGGATGCAGAGGTGAAGGCCAGCAGGGAGGCTGGCGGGGGAAGGCGGAGAGGACTCCGGGGTGACAGACACCGCACTCACCTGGTTGGTGACCTGAAACGAGACAGGAGAGGGTTTAGAGACGCGCGCATGCGGGCTGGCGCCGGCCTCCCGACCCGCTCGGCGCCCCGGCTGCGGAACCCGGCTTCGCTCACCTCAGGGTTGGCCTCCAGCGGCAGCCAGCGTTGACCCTCCATGACTGCTCCCCCCGGCCGCTCTCCAGCTCTGACAGCCGCCGCCGCCACCGCCGCCGCTGCCGCCGTAGCTTCCGCCCCCGCGCGCTCGGACCCGCACCATCCAAACGCCGCCCCGCGGGGGAAACCAACGAATGGAGTTCCACCACCCCCAGGAGGCTTAATCTCGCCCTACGGAGACACATCCCTGGAGTTATTACTCAAATTAAAAGTCGGATTAAACTGATAAACAGGAGCCATATGCTATTTCATGAGAAAACAAAGCCAGAATCAACAGTGAACTCCCCTCGCACTTGGACTCTCCCTGCCCGAGCGAGCACCCGAGTTCTACGCATGCGCCACACGCTGGCCAAGGCCGCGTGCTTGCAGGCGCCCTCACCTTCTTGCAATGCCAACCACAAGCTCTAGGGGGAGCGACATGGATTCCTACTCTGTGAGAGTGGGACCGGTTTGCTAGCCTTAAGGCAGCCAAGCCGGAGGTTGAAATCGTGTTCCTCTTGCTCCTTTGTGAGGATATTGAAATAATAAGTTTGCCTTATCTATTATTGCACTGCCCGAGATACAGGTAATAGGCAGATGACGGATATAGGTGATAGGTAGATAAAATACTCGCATCTGCTTGAAAAACAATATGGAGCCACTACGAGGATGAATCAGACAATGTTGTACAATGTTTGTGTTTGGTACAAACTGAAGGACTTTAAGCAGCATTTTAAATGCCTATTCTCCATCCCACTAAATTTCAGGATGCCAAATGTAATGATTTTTTTTTTTAATTTTCGGGGTTTAACTCAGTGGCCAGTGCATAGTAGCTTCTCAGAGGCTATTTGAGGAACGATGCTGGAGACATGTCTGAGTAGTAGAGCGATGGTCTAGCATGCTTGAGACCCTGGGCCCAATCACAGTGTCACAAAGGGGAGAGGAATGGGCTAGTCATGTATGCAGAAATATCATTTATCAGTTTGGTGGGGAGATGCAAAACAGAAAAGTTGACACAGGTAGCATTTATGAAGACAGAGAAGCAGTAGATATTACAAGGGACAATCCTTTGAATATGTAGGAATCAAGAGTCATGGCATGACTCCAGAAATTTGATCTGACACGTTACTATTCTGTATCCAAGAGAAGAATTTCAGGGAGAGATTAGTTAAGAAGTGGGGAAAATATTATTATACTGAATGTGTTTTTTCTTGGGAAATTTCCAACTCTCCCACACATGCTCTGGCTATTATTTTTATACCTTGGTGACTTTTCCAATCCCTTGACTCCTTCCTATCTGTCTGATGGCTTGACGCCATATCTGCCCAATATCGTGACTTGGTAAATCTGGCAATGTCGGGCTCACAATAGGTAGTTGCAGTTGTCTGATCTCTTATGGTGCTTGCTATATTCTCAGTCTCTACTTTGGCACACCAGGGGAATTTTCAGACAGCCTGCTTTTCTCCAGACTCCTGAAGTTCTGCACTCTGTTTCTCCTCTTAGTGCTAATACTCCACACAACATCCTTACCCCCTACCTTAAGAATTTCTTCCCTGGGTAGACAAAAACTGTGTCTGCCTCCTCATAAAATCCCAAAAGCAAATCAAAATACAATCTCACCAAAGTTTACCTTGAGAAACCAGTGAGATAACTGGACTTAGCTCCCCAGCATGGAGTAGGAATTGTAGTCCAGAGCATAAGAGACCCTGACATCTTCACCAAACATGGATGATAGCAACAATGTGTCCTTTCCCATAGGGAAGTGGTCCTAGCACCTCACAGAACTGCAGACCCCCAAACCGTTGCAAACGTGTCAGGCTTCCAGTCTCCTTACTTCCATTCTATAGGTTAACTCCCATGTTGGCATGGATGTCACTACAAAGTACAAAGAGCCTTAATCCTCAGACTTGACTATACATATAAATAAATGCCTGAATCTGAAGCACAGATTTTGATTCAGTATAAAATGGGACTCAAGATTTAGTGTCATTGCCTCCAATGTTTGACTATCCCTTTGTCATATGGCTTTGGCTATTTTTTTTTTTAATCTCCTAGGGGACGAAGTTCTATCCATATGCCTTATTTATTGATTCCGGTGTTTTCTCCTTGCTAAGATTTCTTTGTAAATTCAACATGAATGTTGTAAATACAACATTGCTGTATTTTTGCAGTCAATCACAGACATGTACAGACCTCTCCCATCCCTGAAACGAGTTTCCACGTGCAAGGGATGGTACACGCCTGTAACACCAACACTTGAGAAGTCAAAGTAGGAGAATCATGGTGAGGATTGGGAACTTAGACCCAGTTGGGGCTCCATTGTGAGCTCCAAGTCCATCTTGGCTATATAGTGAGAAACAATCAAAGAGAGAAAGAGAGAGAAGAGAGAAAAAAATGAGAGAAAAAGACAGACTAGAGAGGTAAGAAGAGAAGAAAAGACAGGGAGAGAGGTTCATTCTCTCAGTAATTTAGAGTATCCTAAAACCCAGTCTTCACACTTTTTCCACCAACATCAATCTTTTGTTATGCCAAGTCACAGCATAATCTTTTAAAAGACACTTTAAGTGGCACCTAAACACAATACCTACGGAGCTTGTGAGTCTCATAACTCAGGAGTAATTTTAAAGAGCTATGAACAAGTTAGTTCATGCTTGCTTCTGGAAAAACAACTGAGTCACAATGCCACATGGGTAGCCATCAGTAGAAGAACGTATCTTATGAGCGGGAACATTTTTTGAGATTTTTAGATGTAAAACTTAAAAACTTTTAAGAATTGATTAAATATAGGTGGGCACAGTGCCTTGCGCCTGTAACCAGCAACTTGGAAGCTGAAGCAAGAAAAATGTAAATTTGAAACCAGCTTGAGCAACATGTAAGGTTCATTCTGCCTGGGAGGGGGGATTAATGAAATCAGGTATTTTTTCAACACCTGATCGAAGTTTAGCATGACAGTTGTGAACATCCCAGATTCGGGTCTTAAAGACATCAGTATCTCCATTTAACCACAGCCCATTCATGACACACCATCTTTACTATTCTCCCTTTTTTCTTTTTGTTGGAGCAGAATGTTCAAGACAGGGTTTCACTGTGTAGCCCTGGCAGTCCTAAAACTCACTCTGTAGACCAAGCTGGCCTTGAACTTGCAGCTATCCACCTGCCTCTGCCTCCCAAGGGCTGGGACTAAAGGCGTGCACCATCATAGCCCAGCTTGTATTATTTTTCATTATAAGAAATTATCCCACCCGTCCTTCTGATGCACGTGTAGTACTCTGTCATCTGCCTGAATCCTTGGCCATGCTGCCAAACTGTCAACTTGAACATAGCCTTGCAAGTAAAGACACGTCGGTCTCACCTGGTCTGAAAACGTCTGTGCCCAGTATGAGGTAATAATTCTCAACATGTAACCAGAGAGCATGACAACCATAAAATGGCTCTGTTTCCACAGGCCGGGCAATTCACCTCTTCATGTCACACCTTTAAAGGAGACTCTCTAGGAATCCAAGACAGCTAACTGAGTTCAGTGTTGCTGTGTAAACATGGAGGCCAGAGTTCGACTGCTCAGTACTCATGTTAAAAACAAACAAACAAACAAACAAACAAACAAAAACATGGGTGTGATGTGAAAGACCAAACCTTTAATTCTAGTACTTAAGAGGAAGAGGCCAGCCTGGTCTATACAGCTAGTTTTGGGCTATCCAGGGCTACATAGTAAGACTTGTCTCCAGACAAAGCAAAACAAAACAGAAACCTCTGGTGTGGTGTTGTACACTTGTAACCCCAGTGCTGGAGAGGTGTTGGGTGGGGGTCCAGTGTCTGCCCCACCTCGGGGCTCAGGCCACTTGGAGAGGCAGAGGTGCAGGAAGTTTGACTGCACTCTCCCCATGTGGCACCCAGCGGGCATCAGGCTATGGGATGCCATGGGACCCCACTCTCGGGGTGGAGAAGGCAGTCTGAGGTCCCTGGGGAGGGCAGTCTGAGGTCCCCGGGGACAGCTGGAGCTGGGGTGGGGGGGGCAGCCAGAGGGGAACAAAAGGCAGCTGGGGACCGGCTGGTTCTCAGGCTCTTGGGCCTCCAGGTGCCTCTGGGAGTCTGGGAAGAGCTGAGAACAAAGTGGGGGCCTTTGGACTCTATGTAGCCCATGGCTCAAAGGGACAGGGGAACTCCGGCTGCATCCCACAGGGATGAGAGTTCTTGGCTTGTCACAGTGGTCAGCCTGGCTTGGTTACCCCCTGGCTTGCTTGGGTTGGTGGTGCTGTGGCTGGGAATACAGAGAGATCTTCTGCGGGACATTAGACAGCCAGCGGCTCTGTAGGTGAAGGCCTTCTCCATTGCTCCCCACAGCGGATCCCGATGAAAGAGAACCAGTCCATGGTTTATTAAGATGTTTATTGTCATGGCGGAAAGTAGATGAGAAATCATATCCCAGTTTTCTCAGGCTGGGCTTGAGGTTAAATACCTTTTGCAAGAAGGAGGGTCTGGGAAGGAAAGTTTAATTTGCTAAACCCTTCTGGCCTTTAGGTACCTCATTAATATGGAGATCTGTCTTGAGGCTATGTGACTGAAAGACACAAATCTATGGAGGACTATGGCCTCATGTCTGGAGCCTGGAGTCTGGGGGCGTGGGGAAGCGCCAGCCATCCCTCAAGGTTACCTTGGGTTTCAGGGCTTCCAGCCTGTGCTTGACTAGAAACCAGGCTGCCTTTCAAGGTCCTAGCCAGCTAGTCTAGTCAAATCAGCGAGCTTCAACCTTAGTGAGAGACCCTGTCTCAAAAATTAAATTAAATTAAATTAAATTAAATTAAATTAAATCCAGTGGAGAGCAATAGAGAAAGATACCAAACCATGGAAGTCCCCTTTAGCCAAAGGTTGACAACTGTGATGGTTCGCTTTAATTGTCAACTTGCTTCACAAAATGTCTGTGAGATATACTGGGCCAGAGGCCTGAGGATGGATGCTTCATCATTATAGAGACAATAGTGGGCACTGCCCAGGAAGTCAGCTGATTCTGTCATTTCTATCATTTTTGGAAGCTGTGTTCCAGCACTTCCTGCATGTCAGCTCTTTGCCGGCAGGTCCAGGCAAGAGGAGAGAGGTCTCGGTCCAGCCTGATCTCTCA